GATACCCTGATGAGTGGAATGATTGAGCTCTTGTGCAGCAGGAAAGAGCTGTTCTTCCAAGCCTGGTGCTTGGAAACCCTGTTTCTCTGAGGGAATTTAAGGAAATCTTCCACTTTTTGCAGTATGAATTAAATTCCTTTTTTAGCTTAATGGATCGCTAATTAATTTTTGTGGCATACTCAAGGTTGTACAGTTGGTGTGTGTGTGTGTGTATGTGTGTGTGTGTGTGTGTGTGTGTGTGTGTGTGTATTTCTGTGGGAAGGTGGTAAAAGTGTTACTAGCTTTTATCTCAGCATATGTATGGTGCTACCTGACTTGTTTAAAGTGCTCAGTATAAATTTGTTTAATGCATGAAAAAATGATTTAATCTCTAAGGATTTTTGAAGAACTCCACATATAACCATTTATCGTTTTGCTACTGTTCTCCAGTATTCTAGCTGCATGTTTTGCAAAGTATGTTCTAGGTATATCAGATTCATTTATGTAAAAAGGGTTCCACGCATAATTCTTAGAAATGGTGCATACTGAATATTTCTCTTAGAAATTCATCCATTACAGAAATTTACTGAGCTCAAAAAACAAAATCTGGGCTCGTAAAACTATTTAAAACGAAAAGCTTATTATTATTATTTTGGGGGGGCAGAACTAGGGATTGAACTCAGGTCCTTGCGCTTGTCAGACAAGCGCTGATTCTACTGAGCTATCTCCCTGGCCCCAAAAGCTTAATTTTAATTTAGCAAAAAGCTCCCCAAATTTATTTGACCCCAGAAACCCATTGTGTTACTTAGCTGTCCTTTACTGAGACAAAATACCTGAGAATACTGACTTAAAGAAGGCGAGGGTTGTTTTGGCCTACAGTCTGAGAAGCTACAGTTATGGTCAGCTTCATCATTACCCCGGGCCTGCAGTGAGGCAGATGAGCGAGATGGAGAGGGCGCGGTGGAGCAGAGCTGCAGCCAGGGAGCAAGGGCGTGAGACAGGCAGAGAGGAAGGGGCCGAGCCGTGTGCAGCCTCCCAGGCCATGGCCCCCATGCCCATTCCCTTCCCTTAGGCCCACCTTCTGTTTCTGTCACCTCCCAGTAATACCACGGAGTGAAGAACCCGTCAACAGAGGGATACACAGATGCAGTTAGCGCCTCCATGATCCAGTCACCTTCCACAAGCTCTACCTCCAAACAGAGCCTTGTGGGGGCCATTTTGTATCCATGCTGTGACACCTATCTTGTGATAGCTCATAAAAGGCACTCTGGGAAATGTGACTTTTTAAATATAGTGTCTTTGAATCTCATAGAGTTTATTTTAGACTTCAACCAAATTTTTGAATTTGAATTTGAATTTTTTGGGCATCAGATACATAAATTATGACTAAATGTAATTAGGTTGTTCAGGGATAAATCAGTAATTTCTATTTTTATTTGGCCTTTGGAGCAAAATATTATGTTCATGATATTTTTTATTCTTTGTATTTTAGGGAAGGGTCTACAGGGTGTTCAGGGTCTCACTGTTAGATTGGACTCAGAGTGATCTGCCTGTTTACAGCCTCCCATGAGCTAGGATTATAGGCATGCACTACACGCCCAGTCTCACTTGTCTCAGGAACCCCTGGGGGCGAGGCCAGCATGGCAGGCTGGGGATGGAACCCCCAGCCCCTGCGCCTGCTTGTAGGCACTTTCATCCGCTGAACTATTTGGCTGGCTCTGTTCATTATATTTTTAAAATGTATGTTACTTTGCGCAGTTTATTAGTTTGTTTAAGAAAAGGGAATATATGTGTCTTAGTTACTCTTCTCTCGTTGCTGGGACAAATACCCGACACTCAAAATGAAGGAAGGAAAGGTTTATTTAGCTCACAGTTACTGGAGGTTTCAGTCCAACTCAGCTGGGTCCAACGCAGAGCAGCACAGAGCAGAAAGCAACCTTTCTTGGCGGCGGCAAAGAGCAAGAGCGCAAGGGAGGGGTAGCAGCAGCTCAAGCAGCTGGCTTCTCTTCCCACCTTACATTGTAATGCAAATCACCTGCCCCAGGGTAGGGGAAGTACTCACACCTATGGGTACTTCCCAGTATTTAACCATCTATGGGTAATCCCAGCAGTACTAAAACCCATAATCCCAGGCTTGGATTACACATAATCCCAGTGGATCATAGTCAACACAAACTCTAGAAGTCCTCACCCCATGACTGCATGAGGTTTTGGGGGAACAATTAGACACAAACCATAACATTATGCTTTATTGATGCACTAAATTGAGAGAACCCTTATCTCCATTAGTTTTCTGTCCTTGCTGAGACAAAATGCCCAATGTCTAAAGTTAAGGAATGACACACAGTTTATAGAGCGTTCAGTCCACAACCGTCTGGCTCTAAGGCAGGGTGGCACATTGCAGAGGGTCAGTTGTTCAAAGTGGTAGAAGACAGCAGAAGCAACAAGAGAGAAGGGTGAGACAAGTCTGTCCATTCCTTATATTGTATCCAGTCTACTAGGATTAGGGAGGTGTCAATCCCATCAGTGGACTGATGTGCAGTGGCCCACCCTTCATCCCAGCACCCTTAATCCTAGCATTGAAGCATGACTCAAACACACACTCTCCTTTCAGCCACTTTGGAAAAAAGCCCATCCCCCTCTAACTGCATGAGGTTTTGTGGGGACATCTAGACACAAACCATAACAACCTTTACCCCATGTTGTAGGAGTATTTCCATATTTCCTATAGGCTCAGTAAGAAAGACAGTTTGCAGTCTTTATTCATAGCTTTATTTTATTTGTATTTATTTTTTAAAAATTAATTTTATTGAGCAAAAAATAATGAGACAGTTTCAAAACAGGTTAGTAGGACAGTTACAATAATTAATACATTACATATTATTGTCTTCATTCATAGTTTAAGATGTAGACATGATATCTTGTCTAAACACTATTAGTACAAATCTTTCTTCTCATTGAACTAAGAGAAAGTAGCTATATATCTATCCTAACTATCTTATATATACATATATATTTTTTTCACTACAAAATGGTCCTTCATTTATATCCCCGTTTTTTCTTTAGTTTTATCAGAAATGGATATTACATTGCCATTCAAATATTATAGGTGCATGAATTCAGCAAAATAATCCAATATAGCTTTAATATTGTGTATTAACCTGGGAAATAAACCCACAGTTATGCAGAATTTCTACCAAAAGGATACAGCTAGCCAGGCTTGGTAGCTATCAGGAGGTTGAGGCAGGAGGATAAGTAGTTTGAGCTCAGCCTGGAAAACGTAGCAAGACACTGCCTCAAAATTTAAAAAACAAAAAACATAAAAAATAAAAACAACAACAAAAGGCTGGGGTTGTAAATCACCATTCCCTGAATTTAATCCCCAGTATTGGGGGTGGCGGCAGAGGGAGGAAAATCACAACTGAGTGAAGTAAGAGAATTGAGTCATTCTATTTTTTAAAATTTTATTGAAGACAGTTTCAAAACCGATTAGTAGGACAGTTTCAATAATTAATACATTGTATATTGTTGTCTTCTTAGTGGTTATTCATAGTACAAAATGCAGACATGATATCCTGTCCACAAACACTATTAGAACAAATCTTTCTGTTCATTGAATTAAGAGAGAGTAGCTGTGTATCTATGGTAACTATTTTGAATATACAGATACAAAATGGTCCTTCGTTTGTATCCCCTTTTTTTGTATAGTTTTGTCATAGAAGAGTATTCCATTGTCATTTAAATATTGTAGGTTTGTGAATTCAGCAAAATATTCCCATATAGTCCAGTAGTCCATAATAGTAGTGGGTTTTCTAATTCTATTTCCTTTAGAATATTACATTTTTAAAAAATTTAATTAATTAATTAATTAAATACAGGGTCTCACTATGCATTTTGGACTCATAGCAATCCTCCTGTCTCAGCCTCCCTAGTGCTTAGATTACAGGCATGTACCACCACCCCCCGGTTCTGGGGCCAGCATGGCATGTTTAGGGTTCTGGGGCAAGTATGGCATGTGGTACCGGGGACCGAACTTAGGACCTTGTGTTTGCCAGGCAGGCGCTTAGACTCCTAAGCTATCTCACCAGTCCTTAAATTTCTTTATTACATTTCTACTTTGTATTTAAGGTAATAGCTGATCAATGAGCAAATCGCTGGGGTTGAATGAGTGCCTTTATACCATTGGGCTACCTCCAGACTACCTCCATCTCCTTATTTTTAATTTTGAAACAGTGTCACTAAAAACAAATCTCAAGCCTGCAGACCTCCTGTCTCAGCCTCCAGTGACTGGATTACAATCAAATCATTTATCTTTTGACTCATCCTGTGAAATTCAATGTGCTTGTACTTGTTCCAATTGTTCAATGACTGTTTAAGAAACCTCTTTTTACTTTTATTTTTGGTAATTAATGCTTCTATACTTCATTTTCTACTCTTCTCCGTCTGAATACTTTGCTTTTCCTTTATATCTGTTTGGCAAATAGTAGGGTTTTTTT